ATATCATTTAATCAATATTAATTAAATCATATGGATGCATAGAGCCTTACTAGGAATCCAGTGACTTGAGTGCCTGATAATTTATGGGCAGAGAATAAATGATACCAAAGATGATTTGATCGATCAGGACAAGCTAGAATGGCAGCTGTTACAGTTGCTAATGCATTACATATTTGTCTTGATTGATTATCTAAAAATTGCTTTAATCAATTATAATTAGGTTTCTACTCTAACCTTGTTTATCAGGGAAAAATAACTTGTATATTGGATCACTTCTACGTCCTTGGCGCTGTATTGGTGCTATCCTATGTCCTTGAACTTCATACAATGGAGTGTTGAGATCTGATGGTAAATCCTGTTCATTTTGTGGTGTGATAAGTTGGCTATTTATAAAACATATAATTAGCCTAATACAATCTTCTGAAAAATAGTCTTCCATTTCAGTATGTATAGCACTTGCAAGATGTCCTGATTGAACCTGCAAAAAAATTAAATAAATTATTTTTATTGAGAACAATATATTGTATATATACCTTCTTAAGATAAAATTCATAGAATGAACAAAGCCAAATGCACATAGAAAGTGCATTTCTTTTTTTAATTGTAAATGATTCACCCTGACTAACTGAGATTTCTACTTGCACTTCTAGATCTACACCACTTTAATGTACTCATGAAAAATTAAAAGTGCAATATTAAACTAACCACTCTTCTTTTAATTCTTTCAACGCATCATTTGTCTGTTTCCTTTGATGAATATCCAGTAATACTTTACATGTCTTTCTGTACAACTCTCCAACTTCAGTCTCCTCTTGAATTAATGCAGGTAAAGAAAATTCTACACTTTCTTGCATCTCATCCTATCAAGGACTAGTATAAAATTTTAATAAAAATAATCATACTTTAGCCATTCTTTTGCATTTGTTTAAACAAGTAAATTTATCATCAGGATAAGCAATCAAATTTCGTCTTAACTTCTCAGTACTTTTTAGTCTGTTCCACAAAAGCAAACAAAATATTGAGCCATTTGTTTCATTGCTTTCTAAATACATTTCAACTTGAGGTGGAAGACGAGGCACCTAAATAAGCCATAAAAATGTATTTATGGAAAATTTTAAACCATTTGAGAGCCTTCTACATCAGCCAAATTGTAAGCCATCACTTGCAGAAATACTTGTGCAAAAGCTTCAGTTTCTAACTGTAGCAAACACTTCTCTGATTGATCTTTACAACTTTGAGTCTAGAAATAGTTTGAATCATAAATTTATAGGTATCAAGATTTAAAGCTCTATTACTTCATCTATCAACAATTTCAGTTTTGTAATAGCAACTTTAAGTTTACTCTTTGTAAAATTTATTGCTTGATGAAGATACACAATTTGCATATATGCATTGGCCAGTGTCATCTAAAACAAAAAAGAGTTAACACAAGTGTATGCTGTAAATGTACCTTTTTTGAATCAACAGCATGACTAAAAATAAACGATTCTCTTAAATTCAATTTTGAACTTCTAATTAAAAAAATGATCTTTCTACGTAACTAGATATAAAGCAAAAATTAAAAAATATAATTATTATAATATTTTACATCTGATTGGAATATTTTGAGCACATCATTTTCATCTTCATCAAGTTGGTTTTTTTGTTTAAGGATCAAAAGAAGATAAAATTTGTATTGAGCAGGAGTGATGTACTGCAACAATTGGTCTGTACTTTCTGGTAATGCTGTGCTAAAAAACCAGCAATAACAGGACAGACCATCTGGTAATGTAATAGTATGAAACATAAAACTGAGTAACATGTTAACGACTGAGCTTATGAATGATTCGCTACAGTTCAAAGCTTTCATAGATGATAGACATTCTGAGAAAGCTTGCTCCACATTAATATTTGATATCTAAATTAAAAATAATTATAAGTACTACTTTATAGTAAAATATACTGGATTAATTTTTCCACTGTAAAGAGAGACACAAAATTTAAGACATTCAGCTGATGCAGGGTCTTTGTGACTATGAATGAGACTGTACATAATGTGAACCTTAAAAAAGTCAAATCTGAGTTGTGGATCCTCTAAGTCATGAAGAGAATTGTAAAGACTCTCCATTTGAATCTACACAATAAAAATACAAAAGATCATAAATTAAATATTTACATCCTTACAATATCTTTGTATAACTTGTACCACTGTATCAGAGCAACTTGATCATTAACACTATCATGCAAGGATTCATAACTTCTCTTGATAATAAGGGTCTCTAAATTTTTGCAACCAGTGACCATAGTTTGTGTAACAGTTGCCAGTGTCTCCTGGGGCTGATGTGCTATAAAAGTTTTTAACCTTTTTAGTTTATCAATTGTTTGGTTTAAGTCTGTTTTACGAATTTCTGAACGAACATGAAGCCAGGCTAAGCGAGAAATATAGTCATCTTTTTGTTGCTCAAAATTGAAATAAATGGACAAAACCTGTGCAAAAACTTTTTCCTCTGGAAGTGTTGTCAGTATGTCATCAGACTGTGCACACTTGAGCTTTATGAAGTCATGAAAATAGCACTGCCAAAGATCTACATTTTGTAATGATGAAATAACTGAAGCCATTGCTTGATCTCGTCCAGACAAATTGTTTGCATTAGTTGAGGCAAAATTCTATAAAAAATAAATGTAATTATGTGTCATGTCTGTAGCTCACATTCCATTACCTCCATCAGTTGATTTAGTTTGCTCTTCATTTCATCTAACATTTGCTTTTCTAAAAACTTTTTGGTCTTTTTTGGACTAATGCTTGTTTTTGGATCAATTTTCTTTTTATTTATTATTCCATAGCAAACATCAATTAACTCTTCCATAAAATGATAAGTCAAATTAAAGAAAGGAAATCGAAATTTTTTATCTTTTGGTGGATGTAGATTCCGACAAACGTATGATAATGTTTGTAAATTGTGCAGCCTTTTAAACATTGTCTGCATGACACTGGAAAAAACTTTTTGGACTACCTCATATGAATCAGTATCTATTCGTGACACTAAAGTGTCTAAGTTGCAATCTTGATTAATCAACCATAACACATAAACTAAAAATTCAAAAAATAGAGCTTTTATTCTTGTTTGCACGTAACTGGTAATACTGAGAGTTGATTGATGTTGAAATGTAAAATTAGCAGCATCTTGCAAAAATCTAATAACAGTTTTATTATCCCAATACTCACGAAACAAGGTACAAAATGCCTTTCCAATTGGAGTACAAGCATGTTTTTCTTGTGCATTGAAAAATATTTTTCTAATCTGTACTTGTCTTGCACTGACTGATATGGCCCTATTATACTCTCCCTCACTAGAACCAACAATGACCCTTGCAGAAACAACAGGTATAGCAACTTCTAATAGTGGCTCTAAATCAAGACTTAGCACATCATTACTCTCTTGAATTCCTAAAGCAATACGAAAGCATTGTTTAATATTGACTACATTTCGTAGTGATTCAGAAATTCCTTCCACTCTCATATCAGCAGTTAGTGAATCCAAATAGAAATGATCCCATCCATGAAGAAAAAGAGCTGGGTAACAACGATTGAAAAATTGAACTTGAGGAAAACTAAGTAGAAGGGCAAATACTTTGTCACTATAAATTGATTTGCTTTCTTTCTGTTCAATCACTAAACGCAAGTAGTTAACCATTTCTACTGTTAAATCTTGCATATTGGCTATGAGGACAAAAACTCTTTGTTGTCTATTATCAATAAAATCAACTATTTCTTTGCATATTTCCCCTTCAGAAGTATCTATTGATACTTTCAGCATTTTCAGAGATTTCAAATCATCATAAATAATAT